AGGGTTGACATGTCATGGGGTTGTTAACCAATGTCATAAAATAATATGTGTACTACTGTTTCATGTGAAACTATTTGTTCTGTAAGCCTTCACCTGAAGTACAATAAAAAAACAAACAAATAAAACTGTTAGGAAAATCACTTACCTGCTGGCCCACGAAGGGAGCCCTGGTGGTGCAGTGGTTAAGTGCTCTGATGCTAACCGAAAGGTTGGTGGTTTGAACCCACCAGCCACTTGGCAGTCTGATGTGGTGGTCTTTGCTTCCGCAAAGACTTACGGTCTTAGAAATCCTCGGGGGCAGTTCTACTCTGCCCTCCAGGGTTCCTATGAGTCGGAATCGACTCAACGGCAATGGGTGTTTTTTCCTGTCCCAAGGCACAGCTGTGTCAGCACATGCCACCACCTCAAGAAGCAGCAGGCTGTGCTCTACCCCCCTCAAAGTGTCTGCTTATGCAAAGGACAACAGTCTGAAGGATAAAAGTGAGGATGTAAAGTTTCGATGGCGAAGGTGATGACCTTCTCAAGAGCTTACTCATAACTGCTGTCATTTATTGCTCTCCAGTTGTGTTCCAGGAACTTAATACATTATCTCCTTGGGTTGTCATGATAATCTAGCATGGTTGTTATTTTAATACCCATCGTACAGAGGAGAAAACTGAGGTTCAGAATGATAAGGACACCAGAGGGTAAACCATGGATCTTTACCTTCCATGGGATAGAGGCGCTACATAAAAATCCCAGACTAAAGAGGCAGTGTATTTTGCAAATTGCTTCACCTCCCTGGGTCTCAGTATTCTCATCTGGAAATTGGGGGTGCAACTATATATATCTTTTTTTAAATATTAACAGCATGTGTTCTCATGTTTAGCAATATAGAGAGCTCCTCTGGCCCCCAGAAGCAAAGAGGCTGGCCTCACCCTCACCCACTGCCTGGGAGTGGGGGACACTCACGGAAAATCACCATGAGGAAGCGGGTCTGGTTCAACATCTGGGTCAGACCCGCTGACGTCAGCACCAGCAGGTTGCCTTCCTCCCGGATGTGCAGGGGCTGGGATACCTCTTTGAGATCCACCTCTGGCGAGCCCAGCACAGCAGCAACACAAGAAGCTACCAGCAGCAGGGGCGTCCACAGCAGCTCCATGTCTGTCCTGTGGGGGCGAGGTAAGGAGCAGTCACCCTCATCAGCACAGGTGCTAGGGCACCACGTCATCACTCCCTCCAGCCAGTCTGTATGTGTGAACCTGGCCTGAGCACTGCCCACCACCTCCCCAGCAGGGCCCACAGCTTGGCAGCAGCACCGCGGGAAAGGTGAAGGGTTAGATCAGTCTCAGGACCTCACTCAGAGCAGCGGGAAGTAGAATTCACACGCAAGCTACTCGAGACCGCTGGCTCCCCAGCTGCTTTGCAGAAACATGGTCCCGCTCCATGGTCCCTAGGTGAGCCAATTTCCCATCACAGCCTTCCAGGAATCCCTCCACAAACAATGCCTCTGCTGCACGCTCCTCAGCTTCTGCTTGAATGCCCCTGTAATAGGGAGCTTATACCTTGTCTCCACCCTGTTTGATTCTGAACAAATTTTCTCCACATATGTCAATATTTTCTTGTTTCTCTTAAACCTCCCAAGTAATTCCATTGTGCAGTTTGTAGGCTGAGAACTACATTGTCAAAGGGAATCAATAAAGCTGGGTTGATATGAGGATGTAGGGTGGACAGCCTGGCTTTGTAGAAAGCTGCGTGATGCGTATGATTCAAGGGTGGGTCTCAGCCAAAGGGTCCATTACTGTCTACCAGGCCTCCAGGCTCCCTGATGAATCCACAGTCCGGGGCAGACCTGGTAACATGCCCCTGGTCAGCCCTGGCTAAGTCTGACACAGCGCAATGACTATTAGATGGAGCTTTCACTTTTAGAATTAATTTTGTTGTTTACTAACTTGTTTGTTGATTAATTTACCTGCAAAAGAAACTCATTTAAAAGTTCTTTGCCTAGGTGGAGACATCAAAGTACTAGAGAGGACAGTTTTCTTCTGCAGAAAACCCTTTTTTAGTTGTGTAAGCGGAAGTCAGTGAGGGCCTCCCAGAACCTTCCCGGGACTCAGCACTCACCATTGGAAATCCCTTCCAAATTTCCTTGGTACCCAGAACCCCATGCCTGACAGGAGGGGGCCAAATTTGTAGAGTACCAAGGAGCCTTCTGGGAAGAAACCCTGAGAGTTAAGGTTGTTAGACCCTCTCTGAGGGGTTCAGGCTGTACTTGTCAGGAGGGAAGGTTAACCTGGGCCTTCAGGTCAGCTCCAGGACCTTAAACAGAAGTGCTGCTGGTCCAGCCCAGCCAGGATGGAGGGGTGGAGAGCCGACCATCTGTGTGCCATAGGGTCAGTGGGGGCTATGGTGGGGTCCGGCGTCTTCCCCAGCTCTCCCATCACAAGGTGTTTGGTGGAATATTCCTATCAATTCGTGATGACAGGGCAGTGGGAGTCTCTGAGAGGGAGGTATCAGCTTTCTTGCCCACCTAGGCAGGTTGCAGCGTGAGTCCAAATGCTTCCCGCGTCCCCAGGTCTTACGGGGTGAAGATCAAGCCCGCAGGCTGGGGGTGGTAAGCTCTCCTAGGTCAAGCTTCTGCAGACTCCAGCTCTCCCTCTCACTCCAAGGAACCCAGTCACAACTCCTATCAATTCATTCACTCATTCATTCATTCATTCAACAAACATTTTTAAGGTCTTAGTACATGCTAAGTACCATTCTAGGTGCAAGGGACAGAGCGGTGAACAGATAATAGTCCTTGCATTCATGGAGTTTATATTCTAGTAGTGGGAATCAGACAGTAAATGAGGTAACTAGACACAATAGATAGTATGTCAGATGCTGCTAAGGAGAAAAAAATAGATCAGGGAGATTAGGAAGTGACGGTATGAGAGGCGAGTGTTGGCATTTTAAATAGGGCGACCATGGAAAGCTTCATTCTGAAGTTGATATTTGACTAAAACTATTTGAATTTCCTGGGCAAGAATAGTGTTTTTCTCCCCTCCTCTCTTCCTCCTCTCTCCTCTCTTTCTCTCCCTCTCCTTTCCCTCTCTCTCTCTCTCTCTCTCTCTCTCGTCCCTCTCTTGCTCCCTCTCCCTCTCCTCTCTCGTCTCTCTCTCCCTCTCCTGTCTCTCTTTCTCCTCAATCTCTCTCTCCCCATCTTCTCTCTCTCTTGCTCCCTCTCTCTCTCTCTGCTCTCTCTCCTTCCTCCTCTGCTCTCCTCTCTTCTCTCTCACTCTCTGGTTTGCTTGCTCACTCAGTTGCTCCTTAGGCCCTGGCTCAACCCTACCTTACTATAGGCTCCCCTCAAACTCCAAACTCTGGGCCCCGTTCTAATTCAATCCCTGGCACTGTGCCCTCAGCCCCACCCCAGACCCCTGGTTCTCTGAGGTGCATGGACCTCAGTTCTCCCTGCACTCGCCCCTCCCCCTGGCATGCCCTCTGGCTCCTCTGTGGTCCCCTGGGCACCCTCTGTCCCAGCCCCACAGATTCCCAGCCCAGCTCCCGAGTCAGCCCCAGCCCTACTCAGGAAACTTTATTAATAATAGAATACTGGGAATAGGAAGAGTTAACATAGGGGCTTGCGACTAGCTGGCCACCGTGCGAGCCCTGAGTGTGCATCTCCATCATTCCGCCGAGCACTCCCTTCTGTGAGCTGCCACCCTTAACTGAGCCCCCTGCTCCTACTCTTTGTTTCACCCCAATCCATTCACCACACAGCAATTGGAGATTTCTCTTTAAAACATAAATTATATCACGTCACTCCTCTTGTTTAAAGGTCCCCATGGTTTGCCATCAGGCCCTCACTGTGGTTTACCAAGCCCCACCTCCTTCGCACCCTCCTCTCTGGCCTTATCCACTTCTGGCCCCTCTCCTCAACCAGCCACACTGGTCTCCTCCCCTTTCCTCAAACACACCCTACCTTGGGGGCCTAAACTCGGCTGGAAACTCACTTATCCGAATATTCAGGCTTTTCTGGTCATTCAAGTCCCAGCTCAAACACCAGCTCCTCAGGGGGGGTCTTCCCAGCCCCTTCCCCCACCCCCTACTACCATTGTTTGCTTCATAATTTGCATTATTACATCCGAAAGCACCTTGTTTATTGTTCTTACTTTTTTCTGTAAATGCCTTTGTTCACTGCCTGGCCCAGATTTGGAGCTCAATAAATGTGTGTTGAATTAATGAATGAAGGAATGACCTAATTTAATTCTCACAACAAACCTCATGGTCCATCTCAGTGGTTTCAGTGGTTCTCAGTCATGATTACACAGTAGAATCTCCTAGGAGCTTTAAAAAAATGCTTGATGCCAACTTCCAGGCAACATGGCGCTATCGTCAGAAGCACCACACTGTCCCTCCGCAGCAAAGATCAGAAAAAATAAGTCAAACAGAGTCACACCTCAGTCCTGAAACCCTAAGCATCAAATGAAGAGATGAAGAACTTAGCCAAGCACCAAATGGAATAAGAAACTAACCAAGAGCAGACAGCGAGGAAAGATACATGCAGAGGTTCCCTATCAGCTGCCACAGCACGGATCAGCCATCTTGGGCTCCTATCAGAGATCAGCAAACAGGGGGTACAAGAAAGCAGCTTCACGAAGCTTCTAACAGGAGACAGAATAACCACTAACCAGCGATATATGCTTTCCCACCCCCTACCCTTCTTCACCCCCGCTTAGCCTCCTCTGCTTCCTGTAGCCACAGTGTCTTGGCTGGGGAGCACCCGCTTCACCCCGGTGTCGCTTGGATTCCACCCGCCTGCACTGGCCGGCTCCCTGAGTGCCTTTTGTTGGCCACTGGTGTTGCTTTTTTCTGCTTCTTTAGATTTCTTCCTTACCTCTCACCACCTCCCCCTCCTTTCTCTCAAATACCTGGCTCCATGTGCCATCTTTGCTTCTTCCTGAAAGGCTGAGAAACACCGCTCAACTGTGAAACTGCTTCCTGGCCCGTGCTGCCACCCTGGTGGGAACCCCAGGGCTTTTTTGTTTGTTTGTTTGTTTTGCTCTGATTTGTTCTGTTTTGATTTGTTTGTTTCCTTTTCATTTTCTTGGCTTGGGAGCCCCTTCAAGCTGGGCAGTATCACGCAGCTTGGAAGCTACTCCCTTACTCTGCGCAGACACACAGGGACATTGCTGGGGGCATTTCTTTTTTCTTATTTTTTGGTTTTTCTTTTTCTTTTTTTTTTTTTTTGGTTTCTTTGTTTTGTTTTCTTCTTTCTCTTATTCCCTTTTTGTCTTTCTTCATTTCCAGCTTCTCAATTTATTCTTTTTTCTTTTACCCTTTTTCTTTTCTTTTTGTTTTTCCATATTTCTCAGTCTCTCATCTCTCCACTCCAACAGCAAGCTCCCTTAGCAGTCTTTTTTGTTGGTTTGTTTGTTTTGGGCTCCTGTTCCTCTCTCCTCTCTCTCTCCTCTTTTCCATACCCATCTTAGCTCCACACATCACAAGCTACCACCTCCTTTCTGCCTACCTGAACATCACACTCCCAAGCAGCACAGGCAAAGCCTACCGGAACCTGCCCTGCATTGATCCCTGGTCCTGTCAGCCCTTGTATGTGCTACAAACAACCCATCTCAGCAACTTCCCTTCAGCTGGATCTGCCCTGCTGTACCATTCCTGAGTGACTGACCCTGCCCATTGGAGAAGGAGGTGAAAAGTATCGTGCCCACAGATGAGCAAACAATAAAGAATGCACAGCCCACCTGCTCAGACATAACCAAATAAAACAAAGAAACAGGAAGAAACAAACAAATCTAGAATCAATAAATGAGGAAAATAACCACTGAATGCTCTGAAGACAGCAGACAATATCAAAACATTTACAAAAACAGGACAGGATGTTTCCAGTAAGCATTCAAAATAAAACACCAGATGACCTTCCAGTAGAAGAAAAGGCACTAGACCTAACTGATAGGGAATTCAAATCTCTAATACTCAGAATTATCCAAGAAGTGAAGCAAAAAGCTCACAAAAATGAGGAAAAATAGACAAATTCATAGAAAATACAGACAAAAAATGGAAGAATTCAAGGAAACAGTACAGGAACAAAATGCTAAAATAAATTCACAACTAGAAATCATACAAAAACAACAATTAAAAATCCAAAAGATAAACAACAAG